CAAGGTTGAAAGTGAAACAAGATTGCATTTGAGAAAAATGCTATGCCACCGCATTAATACAACACTAAATAGTAGTGTAGGAACAGATTTTTTTATTTCTAGACAATTTTGAAGATTGTCATAATGCATAGATCCCTGACCTATCTTATTCTTATTATCAGATTAGTGGTTAAATCTGTTGTTAACTCAATAAAAGATCAGAGTAAGAATATATCAATGCACTCAAGTCTAGTGAATTTGGTGGTGAAGGTCATATTTCACACAGCCTAAATTTCATGACTTCATCAAAGGACAACACAGTAAGACACTTTGTCAAAATCTAGGTCATATGAAATCAAAGTTCACTTTATATCTTAATCTGTGCACATGGTTCAAATTTCATAGCTGTACACCAAAGGACAAGAAAGTAGGTCACATCATCAAAATCTAGATCATCTGATATCAAAGTTCAATTTTACAACAAAAACTGTACACATGGTCAAAATTTCATTGCTGCGCATCAAAAGACAAGAAAGTAGGTCACTGTCCCCTTGGGCAAGGCAAAATTTTGGACCCAAGAGTTTAATTCAAAACAATCTTGATACAGGTCCACGAAACAACATTTCAAGTCAAATATCTAAGCTGTAGCTTTCTCCCATTCAGAAAACCTTTTTGTTTTATTTTCTGTTTTTACTATGTGTACATAATGAGAATCACTGCCCCCGGGCAGGGCCAATTTTGACACCTTGGGAAAAATTTGAACAACTTTGGTAGAGGACCTATAGATGATATAATATAGCAAACATCAAAGCATCAATGCCTTGAACCTTCAGACAAAAATATTTTTTATTTTTTTACTATATGTACATAATGAAAATCAATGGCCCCCGGGGCGGGGACAATTTTGACCACAGGGCTATAATTTGAACAATCTTGGTAAAGGTTCACCTCGCAAAATCATATGCCATATATTTAACCTCTAGCCTTTATCAATTCAGAGAAGAAGATTTTTCAAGTTTTTGCTTTATACATATAAGGAAAACTATCGCCTCTGGGGCAGGGCAATTTTAACACTAGGGGCATAATTAAAACAACTTTAGAAGAGGACCCATAGAAGATATTATATACCAAATATCAAAGCTCTAGGCCTTGTACCTTCAGACAAGAAAATTTTTAATTTTTACTATATGTATACATAGTAAAAATCAATGACCCCTAGGGGTTGGGCCAATTTTGACCCCAGGGCTATAATTTGTACAATCTTGTCAGAGGTTCACTACATAATGTTTCATGCAAAATATCTTAACTCTAGCCTTTGTTAATTTTTAGAAGATGATTTTTTAAGTTTTTACTATATACATATAAGGAAAACCTATACTCGGGCGAGACTTGTTTTGACACTAAAGGCAAAATTTGAACAACTTTGGTAGAGTACCTATAGATGATATCATTTAACAAATATTAAAGCTCTAAGCCTTGTACCTTCAGACAATAAGTTTTTTTTTTATTTTTTACTATAGGTATGTATTGAAAATCAATGACCCCCGGGGTGGGGGCAATTTTGACCCCAGGGCTATAATTTCAACAATCTTGCTAGAAGTTCACTTAACAATGTTTCATGCAAAATATCTAATCTCTAGCATTTGTCAATTGCTAGAAGAAATTTTTTTACGTTTTTACCTTAAGTTTTTACTATATACATATAAAGAAAACCAATGACCCCCGGGGCGGGGCCGATTTTGACCTCAGGGCTATAATTTGAACAATCTGGATAGAGGTCTACCAGACAATGCCTTATGCAAAATATCTAAGCTCTAGGCCTTTTGTGTCTTTACAAGAAGGCATTTTAAGTTTTTACTATATGTAGATATAGTGAAAATCAATGACCCCACGGGCGGGGCTGATTTTGACCCCAGGGCTATAATTTGAACAATATTGGTAAGGGTCTACCAGACAATGCCTTATGCAAAATATCTAAGCTCTAGGCCTTTTGGGTCTTTACAAGAAGGTATTTTAAGTTTTTACTATATGTACATATAGTGAAAATCAATGACCCCTGGGGCGGGGCCGATTTTGACCCCAGGGCTTTAATTTGAACAATCTTGGTAGAGGTCTACCAGACAATGCCTTATGCAAAATATCTTAGCTCTAGGCCTTTTGGGTCTTTACAAGAAGATTTTTTAAATGTATTCTTATAATTCCTTTTGGTTGCCATGGCAACCAGATTTCTGCATGGAATGAAATTCTTTGAACAACTTTAGAAGCCCTTCACCAAAGGATCAATCCTGCCAAGTTTGGTTGAAATTGGACTAGTGGTTTTTTACAAGAAGATTCACTATATAATCTATAACACACACACACACACAAACAAACACACACACACACACACACACACACACACACACACACACACACACACACACTCAGGTGAATCGCTATATGCCACCGCATCGCAGATGCTGCGGTGGCATAAAAAACAACATTTTAACGGTGGCCATAATAATTCCAGTTATCATGCTATATTAGAATAGCCCTAAGAGAAAAAAATATTACAAAATATAAAAGTTAAATATAAATGGGAATAATAAAGCACTTGTGACATGTATAAAATAAGCATAAAGTTCATATTTATAGTATAAAAACATCAAATGCAGCAACATGTAATATAAACATACACAAATAGTTACTATAACTAGGTTTACAATATAAAATTTCTCATTTTCTCTGTATAAATAATAAATCTTGTATATCATATGGTAACTATTGCATACTAATCACCTATCAACATTTCATACTGTATATACCATATGGTATATATAAAGTTTAACAATGTATGATGCCTGCATGGAATTCTGTATATATATAGAACATTGTCAGAATCACGCCATATGTTGGTTTTCCAATTATTCACAAGGAAAGTTTATTTTTAGCCACTTGTGTCATCTCTAATCAATAATGTCTGGATTTTAAATGAAGTATTGACAAAACACTTGATTTTATTATTATTGGTTACCAGTTATTTTACATGCCGAGGTGTGGTTTTCCGATTACCAATTGTAATCTATCTATATAAAAAAAAACCTTAGTTTCAGGTGAAGCAAGTTTTTTTTGTAATCTCATATCACTTTCCACTTTCAACATGTCGTTTAATCTGGTTAATGCTGACATCTTGAGAAATAAAATATATACAAACTACTGTACAACATTAAATATATACAAAAAATCTATCAACAGCCTTAATTAATAATTACTTTACTCTTTAACAAAGAAACTTTTGTAATTAAATACATAACTGAATTGAACAAAACAAAAGCCCATTTAATTCAATACTTCATATTTTATACGAGAACATTTTTAATAGTATCTACTGTAATTGTTTTTAAATAAAATGAAGGCTAAGATATTGAGTTTTAAAATTAAGATAACCATTTGAAACAATGTATATTCGCCTTTTATCTAAAGTGACAATAATTGAGGATGGTAAAAATTAAACTGACTTTAAAACCAGCGTATAATTTATTCACAAATGATCAATTACGTTGGAACTAGTCTAACTGTATACCTATACTGAAGAACTTAGGATAGTTTCCCTTGGACAAGAAGTTGTAATAAAATCTTGCGATTACTTTTAGAACAGATTATATATGATATAATTAGCTACCCAATACATTTGTACTTCGCCTGTATCATGTAGAAATACCACACCACTATAAAACCTTGATTGTTGAAGTATTTAAGTAGTCACTGACTAGAATGTACACAAATGTTAATTGTTAACAACCATATATGCATGTCCTTGAGCATAAAACGAATAACAAGTAAACATAATACACGTAGGCCGGAAATTTGATACTGTCTCAAGATAATAGAGGTATAAAATATGACAATACATTATAGTAAAATAATGTGTAACCCTAGTCTAAAATAGTGCAAAATTCATACAAAAACAGTCAGTCATTAAATAAGATATATCTAATATGTTAAATAGCATTCATTCTTCAACAGATCTGTGCTTTAAGATAGGTTTGCCATTAACTAGAATTCAATCAATACTGTTATCAGATATTATAGCATAAAATCGGCTATTTTTCCCTCTTTTGCCCATGTTATAACGGGACCAAAACCATGTGTTAACATAGTCACGCGCTCTTGTTATAGCCCGGTTTCACCTATGCGCAATACATACAGGGCCCAGTAAACAAACAAAAAAAATGACGGTTTGGCCTGTTTGCCAAAGAGTTATGCGCTCTTGTTATATTGAAATTTAATGATTCGAGGGCCTCAGTCGCATATTCAAGTAACTATGCCGGAAAAACGGCGTATAGACATCGGTGCTAATCTTGGTTGTCGCCCTTTCTAAGAAACGGACAGTTGTCAATGTAAACAAATACAGTAGAATCTACCTGTTATTCAGTTTAACACTCCGATTAACTTACAAAACTAGATAACACAAAATTAATATGAGAAAATAATGTTTTTTATTAATGTTATTGTTGATAAATGTTCTTTATATTTCTTTGAGAGAATAATGCTGAAGTGCCTGATTTTTTTTTAAAAACTTGTTTGCTTGAAAAAAAAAACAAAAAAAAAACGATTCTGATGTCACTCATCAATCTGAAATCATTCTAAGAATTCCTGAGGGTCATGTTTTGTCTTTTGTAGAGGGTAGAGTAATGTAACGTTTTTTTTATCTTAAGATAATAAATCTCCAAAGGCCAAGCTTTGTTAAATCAATTAGAATTTCGGTTCCGAGAATTTTCCAAGTTGTTGGCCCCGAAAAAATGAAACGCATACGTAAAACATAGAATTGGATAAATACCGTCCAATCACAAGAATTTTATGTAATTGTGTTTTGTATATAAACTATACATCACGAATCTGTTTGAAAATTTTATGCTATAATAGCGTCAACGCATGTTTATTTCGTGTTATAAAGTCTGCAGAGTCCCTCGGAACTGTTGGAGCCCTCGCCCTACCGGGCTCGGGCACAAACCGTTCCTCGGGACTCTGCAGACGTTATAACAAGGAAAAACGTGCATTAACCCTATAAAATAAGTATGACTTTACATAACTATACACTTTTGCACGTTTTATTGATACACACTTTTAAGTTATGTGAATTTTTCAAATAAGAATTTCAACATTTTGTTAATTTTCATTTCTGATGAAGACATATTAAAGTTGAATCTAGTAGAATAAGTTTTACATTATCATTAACATCTAACTTATAATCCATATCATATTTTGATAATACAAAGTTTATATTAAAATAGCAACTATTTGTCAACCTTACAGAGTAAAAAACTCCAGTTAGCAGTTTATATACTGTTGATCACTTAGGCTTAATTATAATTACATGTATGATTATGGAACTTACGAGTTTCTAAAAACTTACTTTAAAAATTAAAGGGATTCAACTACTTTAAAAATTAAAGGGACACGACTGAGGTTTTTTCATGACGTGACTGGAAGCAATTTTTCTTGGTAATGTTCAATTTGATGAATGTCTAGACAAAAAGATCATTAGCTCACTCCGATATTCTAGAATTATTGTAATTGTGAAAAAATGACCAAAAACTGAAAAGCGTTGTCTCAAATTGGGCTAAAAATTGCACAAAAAAAAATGATTTTCAATATATTTCAAATTATATTTCATAATTATCTTTTGTATGTATCTCTGTTTTAAGTGCCCCAGTTGTAAGAAATTAAAATTTTACGTTTTTTATGCTTTTTGACCTCAGTGGAGTTCCTTTAAAAGACAAGAACGTGTTTGTTAAACACAAATGCCCCCGGCTCCGATTCTTGTCATTTCAAAAAATGTTTACCCATTCACTCAGTTATGGACAGAAACATTGCCAAAAAATTGTAAACACAAGTTATATAGCTTGACAGAGTCATGGCATTTTGTAATTGTGAAATATATAAGTTGCCAAGTCATTGCTATGACAATGATAAATATTCAACTTATCAAATATATATAAATGTAAGAAATCTATACTTGGCACCCTTGACCTTGACCCACTGACACCTATAGAATATCATGCAAGTTATCTTCCTACCAAATATGAAATACACCTGTCAATAAATAAAGGCTGTATGAGCAAAAGTGTAAAAATCTATTTTTAGCACTGGTGACCTTGACCCAACTGACCACTAACTCCATCAAATTTTATGTTCCTATCTATTATGAATGACATCTGTCTATAGAATATGGTTAATACACCTGTAAAAATCTATTTTTAACACTGGAGAGACCTTGACATTGGTGACATTGACCTTGACCCAAATGAACCCTTACTATACCCAAAGAAGGAGGACCTCCCTTGGCATGTTTGTATTAAACATGAAAGACATCAACCAAAAAATAAAAGCTGTATGAGCAAAATGTTTTAATTTATTTTCTAAACCAGTGACCTTGACTTTGACCCTAGGGACCACTTACTCCACAAACAATTAGAGGACCATTAAAGGTATCCACCTACCAAATATGCAAGATATCATTAAATAAATTAAGCAATTAAGAGAAATTTACGATAAATCCAACTTGCCGAAATATGTTAACCAGACAAGGCCCTATTTTCAAAGTGAAAAAAGGGAAATAACTGGGAAATATGGATGACACAGTTATATAACTTGGCAATATCATGAACTTTGAATTGATAAGTAAGTGTGGAAATTATGAAGCCATTAGTATAGATAGAACTTAAGATATTTCCAACTTGCCGTTTTAGGTTAACCATTATTCATTTTCTAAGTGCTGAAAAGGGCAATAACTTGGTAAATATGGAAGCCATAGTTATGTTACTTGACCAGATCATGTACTTTGTATTGATTAGTAAGTGTGAAAACTAAGAAGCCATTGGTACAGGTAGAACTTAAGAAAAATCCAACTTGCCGTTCTAGTAGGTTAACCATGTACAGACAGACGGACGTACGTACGTACGGACAGACGTATGGGCGGTTCAATTACTATATGCCCGGGGGCATAAAAAGCAAGTCAATCAGGTAAAATCAATATAAAATGACAAACGACAGTGGTACAACTTCAGCTTCTTACATACATTGAAAATACATAAATAAATGTCTTCCTATTTCAGGAGTAATATATACATCTAAATCATTATATATACACTTATTCTTATATGATACATTAAGTTTTTTTTTTTCATGTGAGAATTTCATACAAGTATAAGTATTTTTTTTTTTGAGAACAATTTCAAAACTTCTGTCCACTTTTTCCTGTTCACTTCTAACTCAGATTATATTTTTAGTACTTTAAAAACAAATTAGTATTTTAGACATACTTTAAGACTGTTTGAGAATGCCCACAATTCAATAGCAATCAGAAAATGCAATCTATCAAACACCAAAATCTTGGAATAAAACAGAAATTTGCTTTTTACATTTTATCAAAGTACAAAGAATTTCTATAATTAATTTAACCAAGCAATCTGAAGGACAGCTATATCTTTTTTTTCAGTGGACATGAGTGTGGATTTTTGAACCTTTTCACCATGGATGTATAGTCAGGCTGATATGATGTGTTGTGTACACATAAATCACATCACAATGGCAGTGATTATTTGGTCCAAAATAATAATCAATGCAATAAGTCAGAAAGTAGTTGACCAGATTATTTGACCTCTCTGTGTGACATTGTCACTTGGAGGTAGTAGCCTGGGTATTGTGCTAAGCACAGTGTCATAATTGTGATCATTTGTGACATGATATTTTAAAACCTTCCCCAAAATCAATGAGTTATGGAGCAAGCACGCAATGTTGGCTTTTTATTATTTGACCTTCAACTGTGACCTTGTGTGTAGCCACCTAGTTGTTGTGCACCATCATAATGGTGTTCATTTGAACCATGATATCTGAAACCTTCCATATAGTTAATAAGCTATGGAGCGGACATGAAATGTTAACTTTTTAAGTGTGACCTTGACCTTCAGGGTAGCAACTACATTCATAAACTGAAAATTGTGTTATAATTGTGATCATCATTGCCAAGTTAATAAGTTTTCTTCCCACATTTAAAAAATTATAGAGGGGAAACATAATGTGGACTTTTTTATTTCAAACCTTTATGTATGACCCTGACTTTGATAGATGGACCTGCTTATTGCCCTCTGCACCATTGTTTCATAAAGGTTCAGCCACATTTACCTCTTAGCATCCCATCCCCTTTTCCCCACCATCCCAACTATTTCTTTCACTTGCAAGGATTGCTCCTTAGACCTTGTATCTGAGATTACAGTTTAATAAAGTGGGCAGATTTATGTCCAGCTGATAGATCTTATAAATGTAATTGTTTTCATTAAAAAAATACATCAAAATTAATATAAAAATTAGAATTATTCCAAGATCAAACATAAATATTATACATTATATTCATATTCAACACTAATGATATGTAAAATGCAGTTTTTTTCAGATTTCAAAATATGGATGGATTATTAATATCACAGATAAAATATAACAAGAGGGCCATGATGGCCCTAGATCGCTCACCTGACTCATCAAACTCATCCGAACAATTACCTAGACAAGCATTCTGACCAAGTTTCATGACAGGTGAGTCAAAAATGTGACCACTTACAGTGTTAACGAGGTTTTTCCATATTTGGATGGTGTGACCTAGTTTTTCATCCGAGATGACCCATGTTCGAACTTGACTTAGAAATCATCAAAACAAACTTTCAGACCAATTTACAGGATATTTAGATAAAAACAGTAGCCACTAGAGTGTTAACAAGATTTTTCTATTTTTAGCTCCTGTGACCTAGTTTTTCATCCGAGATGACCCATGTTAGAACTAATCCGAGCAATTACCTAGACAAGTTTCCTGACCAAGTTTAATGACAATTGAGATTGACCTAGTTTTTCATCCAAGATGACCCATGTTCCAACTCATCCAAGCTATCACATTGACAAGCATCCTGACCAACTTTGATGATGATTGAGGCAAAAATGTGACCTCTAGAGTGTTAACAAGGTTTTTCTATTTTTAGCTCTTGTGACCTAGTTTTTCACCCGAGATGACCCATGTTCAAACTCATCCGAGCTATCAACTACATAAGCATCCTGACCAAGTTTGATAATGATTGAGGCAAAAATGCGACCGCTAGAGTGTTAACAACTAAATGTGAACGGACGATGGACGACGGCCGACGGACAATCATCGATCCTAAAAGCTCACCCTGAGCATGCTCAGGTGAGCTAAAAAAAGAAGAGAAAAAAGACTTTTGATTGACAGAAATGAAATCTTAAAAAAATAAATTTATAGAAATACAATATCACCTTCCTTCACTTTAAGGTATCGTACCTTAACAACATTTTTTAAGTAGGACATAAATTTCATTAACCAGGTTTTGCTAAGTTGTCATGAGAATAGCATTACTATTACGAAACCACAATTCACAAAATAACTGAAGTGTTTTTGATGTGAAGGTTTTTTTATAGTTCAATCTTTCATTTTATTCCTAAAAATTACACATTCTTAACTTCTTGTTTAACATTTCAAAATATATACTTAATACTCCTTAAAATCTGGGAAGAAAACATGTTTATCCTTGTTCACTCCATTTGCTGCAACAACATAACTGCAGAATCTAATTTTGTGATGTCCTACTTTTGCTGATCTAAATGTAATTTCAATTACTCATCATTATCATTCACTGCCTTCTTCTTTTTCTTTTTCTTCTTTCTGGGCTTTTCATCCAAGGGCCCTAGATCACCTGCTCTCCTGTCAGGAGTTGCAACACTTATCATCGGATGATCATCATCATAGTTAGCCGACAATCCACGACCTTTCTTGTCCGGAATTGGTGGCATTGGTCTGAAAATTTAAATATTTTCATAAATTTTAATTCTGATTCTTTATCTTTAATTGTTTGCAATGGTTTCACTGCTAATCTGAAGTACCAAGGAACTGGCATGCTACCCTACCTTAAAAATTACTGTAAGTGCAATGTAAGGTTTAGCTTATACAAAACTACAAGTATTTCAAGGTGTAAGATCAACTTCTGACATAATGACCTCATTAAGAGACTGTCAGCTGTAATTAGCCTAAGTTTAAGATGAAATGATAGAATTCATTGTTAAGGATTGTCACTCTATAGTGTATGACATAAATATGAGAAAATCGCTCACATGCTCGCTTGTGCCAACATATGTTTAAGATTGGTTAGGTACACACCATTTTAGATAAGATACACTGTTGAATTTCAATATACACATATAAACCAAAAACACAACATGTCATATTTCCTCAGGAAATTTTCCATGTCAGCTGTTTATAAATGCTTAATTAATATCAACAAGAGGGCCACGATGGCCCTGAAATCGCTCACCTGTACATAGGCCCCAAAGGGCTTTTATTTGAACAAACTTGGTTTTCATTGAATAGTCTCCTGTTACAAGTTCAAATTGCTATAAAACTATAAAAAAAAGTGCTTCAATACTAATCAAACTTGGCACAAATGTTGACTGGACCATTGCCTTTGTAACAACATGCTCAGGCTTAAATTTCCTGTTACCATGGAAACAAGGGGACATCTCAAAATTGCCAAAAATCACTATTTTGCGTTGATTTTTTCCATCAAAATTGATTTCAAAGTGCTGCAACTTCTCAATGGATTGAGATAGAGTCAAATGCTTTTCAGCGTTGGTTACACGTCACCTTATGATCGATCTGGGGTCATTTTTAGCCTCACACAAGTCCAAAATTTTCTTGGAGATGAGGGGCAGTCTGCCGCCCCCCCATTCAAACCCCCCAAGCAGGAGGGGGCACATCCCCATTCTGGCAACCCCCTGATGTACCTTTGGGTTGGGGGGGCTGCGCCGAAAAAGTGGTCACTTTTTTATCAACATTTCTCAAACGAAAACATGTGTTTGGGGCCCAACAGTATATTTTTTCACTACTTGAGGCCTAAAACGGGGGGGGGGGGGGGTGGGGGGTCGAAAGTGTGTTGTTTCGCGTATATATAAGGTAAAGGGTTAACTCTAGCTCTTTGGGTTTTTTAAAAGAAGATTTTTTTAAGTTTTTACTATACACATATAAGGAAAATCAATGACACCCGGGGCGGGGTCATTTTAACACCAGGGCCCTAATTTGAACAAACTTGGTAGACACCCATTAGAAGATGTTTCGTGTTAAATATCTTAGCTCTAGCTCTAGATTATTCCTGTGAAGTTTGGATGAAATTGGCTTAAGGGTTTATGAGATGTTGTTTAAAGTAAAAGTTTATGGACGGACGCCAGACAAAAAGCCATCACAAAAGCTCACCATGTCACTTTGTGACACTGGTGAGCTAAAAAATAATAAGAATGTTGATATTCAATACTATTGCTAACAAACACAATTTAGTCCGAAAATATTAAAAGAACACTAATCATTCTTACTAATATGATTACCTGTATAAAAGAAGGTCACTGATATATAAACTTAATATTAAGATTGTAGTTTTTAATATTATAAGACACTGAGTGAAGTGCTATGAATAAACAGCAAACCTACAATTATCATTTTTCAATGTAAAAGGATTAAAATGGAGGTTAAATTTCTCTATATATCCCTTTTAATATTCAAATTACCTTCCAGAGAAATTGTCTCTGTTTTCTTGAACATGAACATCCTTTCTTGAAACTTCACTGTCACTGTTTGCTCTAAAACAACAACAACACCAAGAAAATCCTACAACCAATTACCATAGTAACACAGTGCAAATCTTATATTAACATGCATAAAGTTCCCTTTCATTTGAGTTTGCTAGTAAATGTATTCAAGACCTTCAAAAATCCAAAACTTTTTAAATCCAAACCATTTTCTTGGTCCTGAAATTTCTCCTGTTTTCTTTGTAATTTAAACTTCTGAATTCTGAAACTTCTAAATTCCAAATGACTTTCCGATAAAATTTTCATAAGATCATATAAAATTTACTTCCAGAAAGTGAAAAGGACAGGGATAACAATTATACTTGAGATTGCAAAATGTTAATATTTCTCAATTAGCAGGGACCATTTATCTTGGCCCTTATTAGAATAATAACCTCAAATTTGCCATTTCATTTGTTTTGAAAGGGTGGAAATTTACTATTGAATTAATTTCTAAATTAAATATATCACAAGGGGGCAAAGAGGAGGTAAATGTCAGCCTTGACAAAAAGGGGGCAATTATCTGTGGAGGCAAATGTCCATTCTCCACATAAACTTTTTAAGAATCAAATTGCGAAAATATAATTCAATTGTAATTAAAGGTGAAAGTAAAATTCAATGAATTTATGAGGAAAAGATCCTCACACTTGATTGGAAAAATGAAAGAGCTACCAGAATAAGAAGAAGCTTATCTGGAAACTCACAAAATCTAAACTTTGTTCTCCATGGTGTTTGGATTTCAGACGTTACACAATAATGCTGTACAAAACAAGCAAATTCGTTGAATTAATATCCCCCGCCGAGTACTGGTTATTATTAACACAACAACTTAAGACATAAGGCTTTATTTATATATTAATCATGGCATAAATAGTAATATTCTTTGAACTTAATAACAGACCAATAACTTTGTGTTAAATAGTTATATCTGGAAATGCCAATGAGATGTATGCATACTACATAACTAATCAAGGGCCATAAATCTGAGTTATAAGTATCTGACCGGAACAAGGCGACAATATGCACATCTCCTCTTAGTATCCCATAAAGTTTCATTGAATTCCAGCCAGTAGTTACAGAGAAGTAGCACGGAAACGATTATTGCTCTGGTTGTATACTGCCTAAGTTATCAAGGGTCATAACTCTAAAGTTAAAATGTCTGACCCGAACAAGGCGACAATGTGCGCATCTCCTCTTGGTATTGAAGGTTCAAATAAAGTTTCATTGAATTCCAGCCAGTAGTTGCAGAGAAGTAGCCAAGAAACAAATATTTTTCTATAAGGATACTGGAATAACTAATCAAGGGCCATAACTCTGAGTTAAAGTGTCTGAACCCAACAAGGCGACGATATGCCCATCTCCTCTTGGTATTGAAGGTTCCCATGAAGTTTCATTGAATTCCAGCCATTAGTTGCAGAGAAGTAGCGCGGAAACAATTTTTTCTCTATATGCATACATGTTTGTACTGCATAACTAATCAAGGGCCATAACTCTGAGTTAAAGTGTCTGACCAGAACAAGGCAACGATATGCGCATCTCCTCTTGGTATTGAAGATTCCCATAAAGTTTCGTTGAATTCCAGCCAGTAGTTGCAGAGAAGTAGCGCGGAAACGATTTTTACTCAAATGCATACTGCATAACTAATCAAGGGCCATAACTCTGAGTGAAAGTGTCTGACTGGAACAAGCCGTTGATATGCCCATCTCCTCTTGGTATTGAAGGTTCCCATAAAGTTTCGTTGAATTTCAGCCAGTAGTTGCAGAGAAGTAGTGCGGAAACAATTTTTACTCCATATGCATACTGCATAACTAATCAAGGGCCATAACTCTGAGTTAAAGTGTCTGACCGGAACAAGCTGACAATATGCGCATCTCCTCTTGGTATTGAAGGTTCCCATAAAGTTTCGTTGAATTCCAGTCTGTAGTTGCAGAGTAGTGCGGAAACGATTTTTACTCTATATGCATACTACATAACTAATCAAGGGCCATAACTCTGAGTTAAAGGGTCTGACCGGAACAAGCTGACGATATGCGCATCTCCTTTTGATATTGATGATTCCCATAAAGTTTCGTTAAATTCCAGCCAGTAGTTGCAGAGAACTACTCCGGAAACGAAATTCGGACGGACGGATGGACGGACAACGCCAAAACTATATCCCCCTCCCGATTCCATCGGCGGGGGATAACAATATGCTCAAGTGATTTGTTTCTGGTATAAATACATGTATATTAATCTTTTTTTTTTTTTATAAATTTTAGAATCATTACTGATGATTAGTAAAAACTGTTTTGATTAATTAAATAATTCAAATACTCTGCCGATGTAATGTAGCTTTTGCACTGTAGAGAGTGACTAGTTGTTGTTCTTATTTAGATACAGTAATATGTTAATAATGAAAGAGATGATAGTCTTTTGTGGTAACAACACCTTACATGGTACTACCTAGTTCAGTAGTCATTTCCCTGGAAACTCAAATCAAGTCAGACATATATTGCATTTTTCAATGGTTTGTCTTTCACAGCTTATTTATCAATATATATGTACATAATAAATGTGTAATAAAGTTAAATATATTGAGAAAATGAAAAATGAAAATACTACCGACTTATAGAAATATCAATTTATTCGGTGGGAAGGTAATATGCAGGAATAAAATTTGGGTAATGCATTAAGACTTACAACTTTTCCAAAGGTCTCTTTTCCTTCTTTTTGGTCCTTTTTGCAATGAAAATAAATGGCACTATTCTAAACATTTATACTATAACAGGCAAATAAATTACTAAAGTATGCAACTCACACCAATCAAAATCTAAAAATAATGTGCACTGTAAATTGATAATGCCTAATATAATAGTTATTCAGTATCATAAGAAATGTGTCCTTAGCATATAAAGAGAATACAGCAAAGACAAGAGGCCCAAGTGGGCTGATATTGCTCACCTAAATATATGGGAAGGTTGGTCAAATATTCTTAATAATGTAATATTTTTGGATCCATTGACCATGATTTGTACAAATTTTGATAAACTACACAAATGCAACATATCTTTGTTTTGAGAATTTAGAATTTTATCATTATACCTTTGTTAATTTTCATAATTCATTTTTGTCCTGGCCATTTCTCCTAAACTATATTGTTCACAAGGCGACACATCCGACTCGCGGAGTTCTAGTTTATCATTAAAAGGGGCAGCATCACTTTAAAACCTGGAACAAATTGTTTTAATACTATTAGTAACTGCAAAGGCCAACTAGACAGAACTACATATCCAATATCTGGTCTTCAAGTTCATTTATTACATTAGATTTTCAAATGCTTTTTCCATAAATAAAAGTGACCCTTGTGTTGTACCATTTTTAACCACTGTTGAAGGCATATTACAAATTCTATCTTTATAACTATTTCCAGCTCCAATGACCAAATTATCTATCACACCAAAACTATTTCATCTTTTTTTGTAGATGATCTCCAAAAGATCATGCATTCCTGTGAAGTTTCATAAAAATCTAGTAACAAGAGATGTTGTTTTAAAGACAATACTGGACAAAGAAATCAGAGATCCTTAAGTCCCACACTCAGCAATCATTAGCTAATAACATTTGTGTCTATTAACCCCTTATAATAAGTTATATTGAACTATTTTACTAGAACGTAAAGCAGTAGCAAACACTATGTGAGGCAGATTCAAAACAGATATATACATGTTCAAAAATGTTAACCTGTTACCAAAGCATGACTGTGCAAAAAAAGCTTTAACAAAGAGAATTTAAGCATGCACTTCTGTTACTCATTTAAAATTTTGTTTTCAACAAGCTGTAAAGGTACTTTTAAGCAACAGGCACTTTTCCCAAAATTATGTGCAATATATTTAAAAACAAATATTAATTTTATAAAAAAGTTGATATTCAATAACTAATCATCAGCACAATCATAGGAAGTTTCTAAAACACAAATTACATAGTAAATGACTAGAACAAAATTTTAAAGAGTAACATTATTTGTTCATAAATGTTAATTGGCCTATTATATTCATAGATAGATCCTTTTTTTGTCTCACCTGTCAGATAATGTTCCCCGATGTTTATCTTCACGTCCAGAATGTACAGTATTTGAATTGGGTCCACGTCCACCACCATGCCCTCTGCCACCATTCATTCCACCTGTATCATTAAAATAAAAAACATTCTATGAAACAAATCTTTTCATTAGTAAAAGTTCTAAGAAATGTTACAATATTAGCTTAACTATTTCAATGAAAACAAGCAATTATCATAGTATTGCAAGCAATCCATAAGTTCCCTACCGGTTAGAACCCCAGCAACATTCTGAAAGGCCATTGGCCATTCACTTATGTCTCTATTTTAAGTAAATTTGTTGAAAAAGTTCTTTTAAAGTGATCACAGGAAACAGTTTTTATGTACAGACAGACAGAGGGAATATTCAAGGACACTCTAAAGTTATTTTTTTAAAATATAACATTTTAAAAAGCAAAATTCTTAAAAAGGAGATAACTCTTGAAATAAAGATGCAATACGTCATACACAATGTGAGTGTAACAAAGAACAATTAGTAATGAAGGTGTTGATAATGAATGTTTATTTTGAATTTGAAGTAAAAGAAAGTTAACAAAAAAAAAAAAATAATATTTTCAGTCTATTTGTTGCCATAGCAACCAGAATTTTCAAGATAGGAAGAAAAGAAAAAGACGTGCATAATCTCCATACTGCCATCTATCCATATATCAAGTTTCATAAAAATATTTTCAGTACTTTTTGCGTTATCACTGGATCCAGGTTATGTGAAAAATTTGCCATATTTTCAGTCTATTTGTTGCCATAGCAACCAGAATTTTCAACATAGGAAGAAAAGAAAAAGACGTGCATAATCTCCATACTGCCATCTATCCATATATCAAGTTTCATAAAAATATTTTCAGTACTTTTTGCGTTATCGCGAAATCCAGTTTTGTGGACGGACTGACGGACGGACAGACGGACGGAGGGTAAACCTAAAGTCCCCTCCGGTAAACCGGTAGGGGACTAATAATCTTTCATAAAAAGATATCTGCACATCATAATTCATATGATATTCATGTTAAAGATTATACAAATCAAATACACATATACTTCTCACAGTGAATAACAACTACATGTACATTGTATGTCAATCCAATATATGAACTTGTTAACTGTACATGATTTACTCAAATTCAATATTATCAAAATGATGATTTTAATTCAGATCAGTGCATGATTAATTTAGAATATCATATCTTCTCTAGGTTACATTACTTCTGCTAATGTAAAGCTTATAAAGTTAAACATTAAAAACCCTCTGAACAACGCATTGACATCTCATGTCAGGACAGTACAAGCTTCAGATCCATGTCTTGTTGTTTTTACATTATTACTAACTGTTTTCATAGATTCAAATATAACAGATAATGAAACCCGCAACTAGGGAATTAGATGCTGATAACTTAAACACATTGAATTTCAATATAACGAAACTAGAACACAACTTTGTATTATAAGTTAATCATTAAGCAAATGTGCATACTAGATACACATACTGGAATATGATATCTTGTTAAATTAATATAGTGTTAACAAATATATTCATCACATGACATTGCTAAAATGATTCTAATATAATACATTTATTATGGTTTATTTTTGTATTACACAAATAAAACATTATGTCATAAAAATGATGTAATCAACCCAACATAACATTAAAATGATATTTCAAAATGTGACATAAGAATCTTCCTGTTGTATAAGCTTGATTAAGAAACATTAGGCTCATTAGATTAATTGTCCAATTTTCAAGAATTACATATTCATAATTATGTTAGGTCCTATAAATACAATGTGCATCATATACTATTTGTAAGGCTCATATATTGGGGTGCATATTTTATAGAGTAGCTGGTCTTGGTCTGCCAATTAGAAAGGTACAAACTTGGGAGCATTATGTAATAAGCATTAAAATTGAAGGTGTTTCTACTTATCAAACCCATAAGGTTGAGATCAAGAAGGTAAATGTGCTCTGATGAACAGCACTTACTTGTTTTAAGTTACTGTCTGAATTGCTTCATAAACAATGGTGAACTTGATTAACATCTTTCAGTCCAACTAATATTTCCAACTAATATTTTCTTTTTACAGATATTACTTTATAAAGTCTCTTTCAACATGTGTTTGTTTGGTTATAATATTAATACATTTTTGGTATTATCTGGTGGTCTGTGCCACTAACCGTCTTTCCTGGTTAACTAACCAGTAATTACCAATTTCTACACAAATGACTGGTTACTGACTTCAACATGACCGTCTTTCCTGGTTAAGTAACCAGTAATTACCAATTTATACACAAATGACTGGTTACTGACTTCAACATGACCGTGAGAAACAAATGACCATTAGACTCAATGCCAGAGATCAGTGGTCATGGAGAAAATTTCCCCTCACCAAGAATTGAACCTGTAACCCATGGTTTACAAATCCTATGTTCTCCCTATTGTACTAAGCTGACAGACTGTTGTTTCAACATAAACTATAATAAATATTAAAGCCTTGACAACATGGCAACATGCCTTATTTTCTAAATTACCTTCTGTGAAGCACTAAATTATATACTAGATAGTAGTTAGATGTTCATATAAACATAATCATAACAATGTAACCCTTCACAAACTTGCAATCTGAATATATAAAGTTCTGTCAGTATAAAAAGATAGAGATATGGAGAACATTTTAAAGAAATTTCTGGTGTATTGTCCCTTAAAATGGATACTAAATATGCTTGTAGTAACAACAATAAAATCAATATAAAAGCAGAACATGCATACTTGGATTAACTAGAACTATCACTAAATGTGATTAATATCCCCCCACAAGTCTGCTTCGGAAATGTGGATGTTACTAGTTACAGAATACCTTGTAAAGAATTGAAATCGAGTTATGCTTGTGGGCAATTAAAGATAGTTGTGGTTCTTGTCTGTTGCATTTCCTTTCAATGTGGTTGGCCATTGATGAAGTTTTATTGGATTACTCTGTAATAAGTCCAGAAAGACAAGGAAAAGGAACAAAGGGCAATAACTCTTTAAATACTGAAGATTGAGTTATGGTTATTGTACACTGCACTTCCTCTCATTGCGCATGACCATTGTATGAAGTTGTATTGAATTCCAACTACTAGTTTTCAAGTTATGCACTGGACAAAAAAAGTAACAAAGGCAATAACTGTAATTAGTCCAAATAGAGTTATTGTTCTTGTGTGCACTTCATCTCACTGCCCTTGACCATTGTATAAAGTTTCATTGAATTCCAACCATTAATTTTCAAGTTATGCACTGGACAATAAAAAGTAACAAAGGGCAAAAACTTTTAAATTAGTCAAAAAAGAGTTATGGTTACTGTGCACTGCACTTCCTCTCAATATACTTGACCATTGTATGAAATAGTTTTGAATTCCAAGTAGTAGTTTTCAAGTTATGCTCTGGACAAGAAAAAAGCAATGGAAAAGTAACAAAGGGCAATAACTCTATAATTACTCTGGAAAGAGTTATAGTTCTTGTGCTTGACCATTGTATGAAGTTGTTTTGAATTCCAACCAGTAGTTTTCAAGTTATGCTCCGGACAAGGAAAAGTAACAAAGGGAATTAACTCTGTAATTAGTCAAAATGGAGTTATGGTTCTTGTGCACTGCACTTCCTCTTATTGTGCTTGACCATTGTATGAAGTTGTTTTAAATACTAACCTGTATGTTTTAAGTTATGCTCCGGACAAGGAAAAGTATAAAAGGGCAATAACTCTGTAATTTGTCAAAATGGAATTATAATTCTTGTGCACTGCATTTCCTCTTAATGTGCTTGACAACTGCATGAAGTTGTATTGAATTCCAACCGGTAGTTTTCAAGTTATGCTCCAGACAAAGAAAAGTAACAAAGGGCAATAACTCTGTCATTAGTCAAGATGGAGTTATGGTTCTCATGCACTGCACTTCCTCTCAATGTGCTTGACCATTGTATGAAGTAATATTGAATTCCAACCATTAGTCTTCAAGTTATGCTCCGGACAAAAAAAAGCAATGGAAAAGTAACAAAGGGCAATAACTCTATAATTAGTCAAGATGGAGTTATGTTTCTTCTGCATGGCACTTCCCCTTATTGTGCTTGACCATTGTATGAAGTTGTTTTGAATTCCAACTAGTAGTTTTCAAGTTATGCTCCGGACAAGGAAAAGTAACAAAGGGCATTTACACTGTAATTAGTCAAGATGGAGTTATGGTTCTTGTGCACTGCACTTCCTCTCAATGTGCTTGACCATTGTATGAAGTTATATTGAATTCCAACTATTAGTCTTCAAGTTATAGTCCGGACAAAAGAAAGCAATGGAAATATAACAAAGGGCAATAACTCTGTAATTACTTTAGATAGAGTTATGGTTCTTGTGCACTGCACTTCCCTTTATTGTGCTTGACAATTGTATGAAGTTGTTTCGAGTTTCAACCAGTAGTTTTCAAGTTATGCTCCGGACAAGGAAAAGTAACAAAGGGCAATAACTCTGTAATTAGTCAAGATGGAGTTATGGTTCTTGTGCACTGCACTTCCTCTCAATGTGCTTGACCATTGTATGAAGTTATATTGAATTCCACCCATTAGTCTTCAAGTTATGCTCCGGACAAGGAAAATGCAAAGGATCGCTGGACCGACCGACCGACCACCGGGTAACTCCTATATACCCCCCCAAACTTCGTTTTTGGGGGTATAATAAGGTCTGTCCATTTCAAATTACATCAAACAGTCTGGTAATATTTTTTCCTTCAATTTTCCAATATATGCCCTCAGTATCCAATTCATTTTCTTTAAATGTTTTGGCAGATATGATAAAAGCCATTTTTTTATAATAAACTTCGACAGTCATTCCAGGTTTTTTTTATCTTACTTAACTTCAGCCAATATCTTGAAAAATCTTTTTGAATATTTTTACATTCGTCACTTTTCTTAATCAAATTTCACATTGAAATGTTTCTTTTACATGCCCATAAAAATAAAGAATATCGAAGCATTCTGAAAGCTATGTTGAGAAAGAAATTTGCTCTTTATAGTGAAGAGATAGCACTGGGGTAGAAAAGCATGACATGTTGAACATGA